AGTCTGCACACGTTCTCCTTCCATCAACCGGAAAATGCAGTTTTTTACAACTCACCTCGACATGTGAATGGCGTGGACCATTGCAAGGAGCAATGGGGCGGGAGGGCGGGGGGGGGGGCTGGCGTGGCTTGTGTTGTTTGATTGAAGGCAGCTTGTTGTTCTTCGTTTCCATGATGTTTTGAGGACAAATGAAGGAAGGCGGACTTACGACAGCAGCTGGGAATTATTTGTGTTCTTGGTCTTGGCTGATATTCTCAGAGATGATCTAGATGATTTTAGATGATTGAACTCACAGCTGTGTGTATATTTTGCTGGCCATTGGGCGAGTTTCTTTTTAGATGGTCATGGCACTGTCATCTTGAAGATATTATTGGTTGAATCAATTTTTTTTTTAAAAGCACAATAACAAATCTAAACTGGTTCCCTGTGTGAGGATATTGTAGCCCTCAATGCGAGTAAATTGCGACTTGCAACCCTCCATGTGAAATGTTCCAGACGAGCAGCATGAGGAACCCTGCCCAAGCGCAGCATGACAAAACGGTGTAAAGCCTCTGCAGGAGCCAAACTCTGACACTAGTGTTGTAAAGCCCACAACACTGCCTGAAGAATAATATATTGGCCTAATATATCCCATAACATGGAAAATATGAGAAAGTTTTAGATCTCAAATGTGAGTTATTGCAAAAAGCCCGATTTCACATTTCAGGACCATATGAAACCTAATTTCTGACATTTGTGCACTGAAACAACATAGTGGAACAAGGCTCAGCGCTCCTGGAGGAAGGATATTAGTTGCTAACACTTACTGATTACCACGTTGAATTAATGTCTTTTAAAGCCGAACTTATTTATTTCTTGGCATCTGGTGGCGACGTGCTGGTCATGGTCTCCTTGGGGAATCCCTCAACATAGGAAAGGAATTTATCACCCTGTGAGTCAGACCTTTTTCCACTTTTCCAAGCTGACGAAAGGATAACCCACCGGGGGTGGAGGCCTTGTTCAGGCTGTTGGATGAGGGTGAGCGTTGGCTCATAACCCCCCCCCCCCCCCCCCACCCCAACCACCCGACTTAAAAAAAAAAAATCTTCCAGCCTCTTTCCTCTGCTCCCCCAAATGAGACATCCGTGACCAATCGGGGGAGGTGATGCTCGCGGAAAAAGAGCGCAACTGTGCCACATTGTAGACGAGTTGGGTCATGATGGTCGGTGGTAATGGTACCCCACGCGAGACAGGAAGCGGGGGTGGGGGGGTAGGGGAGGGGGGGCTGCGGTCCGCTGCGGTCCGCTGCGGTCCGCGGGCCCCGCTGGAGACGCCGGCGTCACAGGCCGCTGTGGCCCGGATCGCTGGGTCGGTTTTCGAGAGGAGGAAACGCCTCCGTCACCTCGGTGACCTGCGTATGTCCAACGTGTTCTGCCCGCCTGCTTCCTCCTCTCTTCCTCCTCTCATTTACCGGCCTCCCGTTTCATGTTCGGTCTTGCGAAAGCGCATTTGAAAGTTGCAGCTTTGCCTTTAATGTCAACAGGACTTTCTCTCTTCCCTTCCTAAAAACTGGGCCCAAAACCAGACAATAGCAGGGCAATGAATGAAAAATGATGGATGGGCCAGAAAATGTGATAGTTTTGAGTCAGTTTGAGAGAGAGGGCAGAAGTTGAGAGATCATAATATGCTCAATGAGCCGTTTTTGGTTTGCCTGTTTGCAGTATGGACACAAACATCTGGCAAACAGCTTTCTCCACATCCCCTTCCACCATTAACCCTCCTCTTTTCCCCCATTTCCTTCTTTCATAATCCCACATCTCTGCTTCTCCGTATGAATGTCGAGTAGGCGTGTACTCCACTTGGTATCGCTTGCCGTTGTATTTGCCTTTAGAGAAACAGATTTGTATGATCCTTGTGAAATGCAGCCTGTGAACAGTATACATCAGGAAATGATTAATGTAACTCTTTTTTAAGCCGTTTTTACAATAACTGTCATAAAAGGCTACACTTTTCATCAATACAGAATGAGTAAAGTGTCGCCCTCCGGTGGTGGGAATGAGAAGGAAGGAAAATGGTTGCCAGATATTTTGTCTTTCTGGCCACAAAAGAGAACAAAAAAAATCAAGACTATAAATATAAGATGGATCAATATACCTGTTGGCGTCACACTTAATTTTCTTAAATCTGAGAAAATCAACCTGGATATTAATTTAAATTTAAAACTAAAAAAAGTATTTCCTTGAGGAAAACATTCAAATAAAGCCAAGAAACCGGGTTTGGCTTCAGGTTGCTGCACAAAGGCGGCGACTTAGAACGCTGTCAGAACAAAGGCCGTGTTTACACAGTTTGGTTATACATTGCATCTTTGTCTATGTTCTGATAAACAATCTTTTCCCTTCTTTTCTTTTGCTCTTCCCCCTCTTTGCTCCATACTGCTGATGTGTCACCAGCCCCCCTATTCTTCTGCAGCTCCCTCTTCTCTCACACACACACTCGCTCTAGCGTTTCCAGATGTGCGCAGGAATGATGTCATGGCAGACCGGAGGCATTGGACTTCTGGTCCTTTTCTCTTTCTTTTTTTTTTTTTTCCCCTCCAGAAAACATCCATCGCAGACGAGGGGGCAAGAGGCGGAAGAGCCAAGCGTTGATAAGTTCCCAGACCTTAATATCGCTCTCTGATAAGTTGAGTGTCTCGGTTTTTCTGAGTCACAACCTGTCTTTGAACTCCCACCTGGGTTATCCTCCGCCTCACCCCTGCAGCTGCTGGAAAAGTGTGTCCACGTGTGCGTTTCATCATGGTTGCGCGCGGACCACCAATGGTACCCGAACATCCCAGCACACGTGTTCGTCAGCATTCTGCAGATGGGGCTCTGTGCAAAAAGGAGGTTAGCTGCCAATGACTCAGGGAGCAGGAGGAGAGGCGGAGTCGGCGAGTGTTGTGGCGGTTGCTAGGCGACGGCAGTGTAAATAAATTGTAAGAGACGGAGAAGAAAGGAGGCCATGTAAACTGTGGCCGGCCACATGAGGTCTGTCTGAGATCTCTGGGGGGAACAGAGGGATGACTGGGGGGGGGGGGGGTGACGGGAGCTGTCCCTGACCGTGTTGCACACCCCAGCTGGACTGGAATTTGGGCCTCAGTCACCAGCTGCAGTGAAAATCTGCACTCTCGCAAGAGCTGCCGTCCGGTTTGAGTGAGAAAACTACGGAAACAAAAAACAGGAATCGCCAGACCGCTCTTCGTTGTCCGCGACAACGGAGGTCGACGAACATTGTAGTTCAGCTCATCTTCAAAGTAACTGGATCTGATACTATCATGAGCATCAAAAAGAAACACTTTGTGTGTGTGTTCCTACTCTACGTATCCGTGTTCTACTTGTGCAGGTTGGCATGGGAAGAAAGATCACAGTCAAGTCTAGTTGTGAAAAATGAATAAACACACTTGAATGAAGGACGACATGGATTCTGTGTAACGCGCAAAGGGTTGGATTGTGTTGTCAAAGCCACATTAGAATCCCGCCCCCCCCTTACAGTAGCTGCTAAAGAAACACAATGTTCCCTAAAAGGGTGTCGACGTGCAGCAAAAACAAAAGGAGCGAGAGTTTCGATGATCCATCAGATGAACTTCACATGAATACAAACGTGGTTCCTTTCGATCTGTTTAACACAGACACACAGATATACTCGGGTTGGCATTCTTACCCAAAGTCAGTGTACGACAGCGTGTTGAATCAGCCTGGTGTTTCTTATAAAACATCCATGATGGCTGCTGATTTGGCGCCTCCCCGTCTTTGATATTACTGTTACGATGTAGCGTTGTCACGTGACTCTTCTCTGAGGAGTAGAGCGATTTAGCGGCTAATCGCTGACTTTAATCAGATTACCTGACTATAGGCCATGCAGCTCAAGTCCCCGGGCCACCCGCACACCACACAGGCCCGGTTTGGACCCGACACTTTTCTGTTTTTTTTTGTTTTACACAATATACTTAGTGAGGACACACGGCTCCGAGCGAATGATCCAACCAGGAGACGGACGAGCGCATTTGATCCTCTGTTGTGATTATAAATTAAACCAAATCTTTATTCCCACCTCAATCCAAATCCCCTTTCTGTTTGTCTCCGTCGGGTGGTTTCGCCACAAAAGGCGGCGTGACGGATCTCCCTGCTGAGGTTAATCCGTCCTGATCTGTGTGGCACCTTTGGGTGCTCTGTTCCCCTCATGATCAAATGAATGTTTTGGTCTTCAATTGATTTAAAACCGTAATCTCCGAATATCCCTCACGGCTGCTGTATCGTCCACATTTTTTGAGGGATTGAAAAAAGCAAAAAAAATAATAATAATCTCACAGCCGGCTTTATTTTCCTGTGATAGTGAATCCTAGCAACGGCCCAAACGCGTCACTGAAGTTGAAACCTGGTGGAGACAGCCTGAGAACGTCTACGTCATCGGGCTCAGTGCGGGTCACTCGCAAGCAGCGAGCCTCATAAAAGTGATTAATAAGAGATTATTGAGACCGTTTTAAATCTCTCCAAACTTCCTCAAGTAGTCCGTCCTGCTCCGTTTAATAATAAAGCATTTCTGTATTTTTTCACAGGGAAAAAAAAAGCTGCTCAAATAAAGAAGCCAGTCATTTGGGGTCTGACGGTTTTAAAAGACGAGGCCAATATCAATAGTTCACATATTAACTTTTTCCAACAGGCCGGGAACCTGGTGGAATATTTTGTTGCACTTTTCTGAAAAAGCCCCTTCAATCAAAAACATTTGTTTTACTCGTATTGCACTCAATTAAACTGTTGTCATATTTCATCTTGAATCACATTGACCGCACCATTATGGTCATATAATAGCGACAGCGAGAGCTAATAGCGGAATGTTTTCATGCCATAAACGCTGTGGATCGACAACCTTTTGAACTCTGCAATAGAAATGATCCGTGTGCTCCCTTTGGTTTTTGCTCATTCTGATGTCCTTTCAGATAATATTTTTTCAGAACATGAATAGATGCACAGAGAAAAATCACATTTTTACAATCCCGTAGAAGCCTTCGTTTAGATGGAAAAAAGTAAGAGACATTTTTGTTATTAGGGTTTAAGTGAAAAATACAAAGTTTAGGATATGGTTGCCCCGTATGGGGGTGAAGAAGAAGAAGGGAACCGCTGAGGGACGCTGCCGGCTGGCGAGGTGGAACACGAGTTGGATGTTTATTGTAACGCCGCCGGTGACACGCTTCTGCAGACTGAGACAGGAGCGAAACACCTTCATGTTTCCAACATGGTGGAGTGATCCCACAATGCCGCCGCGTCGCGAGCCAGAGACGTCGCACTGGAGGATTCTAGAGGAAACCAAAACACAAATCAGTTTTGTTTTTTTCTCCTATTGAAGAGGAAACATGTAATCCTCAGGATCTCCCCAGAAAGTGCTTGTGTTGGATTCTGCCGCTATGCGACTGTCAAAGAAGAAGTATGGACCAGGCCTGCAGTGCTTAGTGAGGAAGTCCGCATTTATCTTTTGATCAAATCAAGATTAGCTCTCGTATTATCGCGTTTGTAAAGGTATCATCTCCAGGGGAACATCTGGATAGAAAACTCCCACATGGTCAACGAGGCGAAGATGTGCGAGTGAATATATGCAGTTGGACCAAACATCACTATGAACGGTTGTATTAGTAAAGTCACAGCATGCCTGCGAAGACCATTCTGTGACATTTTAACCACACAGAAAACACTAAAGCGCAACTAACAACCTTTATGATGACTGATCCACGTCGGGGGCCCGGAAAGCAATTACCGATGATTAATATCACCCGAGCTTTTCCTGCTGCGACGTGACAACGTGTCCGACGAGGCACAAGTGTGCTGAAAGATGAGCTTCCAGGTTCCTGCTAAAGGTATTTTGATTAATTCATTTGACTTTGAAGTTGCACTAATGCGCTTTTTTACTGAATAGAGCTTGAAGGTATCATGTGACCAACCCAATGCATAAGTCAGCCTTCGTTATGAAGCCGACCCGATGGCTGTTTCCAATACTGGCGTTGGTATTATCGTTTGTAGTTTTATTCATATCCCACCCCCTAAAAAATCCTGTTGCGTAAACAGGGGCGTGTTACCCACCAGGATAACGTTTAGAACTATTCTGAATTATGTATCAACCATTCTTCTCTTTTAACTCTCAAAGAGAGATGAAAAAAGAAAAAAAAAAAAGAAGAAGTAATTCCTCATTTAAATGCATGCGCTCGTTTGCTTCCAGCCACTTTTTCATTAGCGGAGCCCAGGGAATTTTGTCCTAATCAGCTCAGCGATGAGACAAACCCACTGTGAGATTCGTCTGGTGAATTAACGGGAGAAAAGGAGTGAAATCTCCTCCTCCTGCGGGCGCCCTGTGATTTCATTGGTGACGGGCCCCTCTTGATTAACTCCTGCTCCGGGGGGTCGTGCGAGGTGGAGGCCATCTCTCTCAGTGGCAGATGGGGGCTCCCTCAGAAGCTGGATTTCAGGATTCAGAACGGCGAGTCCTCTCTGAAAGTGCCTACCTGATTACGTTGACTCCTTCGGTATTTTGTTACAGCAATAAAATTTCCCGTTTGGCCCCAAATGTAGGAAACTATTTTTTTCCTGGACGAAAACAGGAGGTAATTGGAACAACGGCTAACAAAATGCCGTCGTTAAGCGAATAGAAAATGCCTGTTGTGATACAAGCTTTTCATTTTTCCCATTGTGATGAATAGACGCAGTAACACCTGTAGACTCCTTTGTGTGGAGTCTGATGCGAGAGGAACTTGCAGTAAATATGCATACATGTGTACAAGCCCCCTCTGCAGCTGTGTGCCTCCATGTGTTTGGTTTCAAAGGCTCGGAGGGGACTTTATTACCCGGGCTTCATTGCTGGCTCCGGGGGGAGCGCGGTTGGACCGTCTCTCGTGGTCGCGAGTCCTCTGTGGTACGACGGCCTGGAGTCTGAGATGGTTGGAGCGGTCTGGAGGTGGTTGGAAGCGGTCTGGAGGTCCGCCACGGCTCCGAGTCCTACTGGGTAGAAAAAAGGCCTTACGAAACTGTCCAAAGATACAAAGAGCGGCCGGAGCAACAGACGTCCCTTTGTCCTGCGGGGACGGCATTCCTTACCCTCATACGCTGCGGTATTCACTCTGAATACACTACGGTTTGTTTCCAATCGGCATTTTCCGTGTGTGTGTGTGTGAGGGGAGGAGGGGTCTAAAGGAAGAGGATGACACAGAGAGCGCCGTGCGACCATGTGGCTCAGCGCCCCTTAAACCAAATTACAGCTCAAGGTGCAGAGGTCAGCGGGAGGAATGTTTGTTCCTCTTTTTGGGTGGGGGGGAGGGAGGAACTTTAAACTCTCCCAGGGGAACGTACCGGTACGAATGGAGAACAGAAGTAAGGAAATGAGCATTATTTAAATCTACTGAAATCGGAAAAAAAAGACATTGGTGTAATGTTTGGTTTTTGACTTGATTGCACTCAAGCTTCAAAAATGATAAAACCACGTGGTATCACAGTCCTTTTCAAAGAGTTTCCGCAACAATCCAAAGGACGAGTCCCTTCTGCTTCTCGTTGAGGCCTCCGTCACACGCCATCGCTGCAGTGATGAGCTCGTCCTTCTGCCACGGAGCTTTTTCTAAGCTACTTCACGTTCATCATTTTGCTAAAGAGAGAAAAGGATGACAGGCGGAGTGAGATAACGAGAGATTCTTCTGCTGGTTCAGGCCTTCGCCCTCTAATTACCGGCGGTTAGTTAATTAAAGAGCAGAGATGATTGGCCGCGAGAGTGAAACCTATACATGCAGCACACATCTACACCCCCCCCCCCGCCCTCCGCTCCCCCCCAGGGTGCGAGGAATACCTTTCACCAGCCCAGTTTCTGTACTTTCTCTTCTGCCGAGTGGCTCAATAGACTACAACGCCGACGCAGCGCAGCGCCGCGTAATCTGCTCCCAACAACGTTGCGAGCAGATTACGCGGCGCTGCGTCGGCGACTGGGACCATAATGTGCAGAATATTATAGAAAAGTGACGCCACAGTCCAAGTATTAGCTCAGCTCGGCTCGGGACGCAGCCCGCGGACAGCATATCTATTCCAGATGGAGGAACCAGCTTCCCTCCTCTTTTTTTTTCATATTCTCCTCAGTTTTCTGAGACCTTCTTTGTTACACTGGTGAAACTCTCGTCTTTGGAGAAGTCGCCGCGCATTGTGTTCTTCTGTAACATCAAAGCATTAATGTCACGTTGGCGACGAAAGGCGCCTCTCGGGTGTCTTTTGTTCTCCTCGGTGGTTTGCAACAGTTTTGCCCTTTTGGGTTTGGGTCCTTCCGCAGCAGCAGAGCGCTGTTTGGTGTTGGAGGACGTTTACCCGTTCCAGGCTCGGGGGTTGACGTCGCAGTCGCAGAGACTGTGAGTAACCGCCTTCCTCGTTCTGCACACCTGTGCTACGCGCAGGCTGTAAACGCATTATAGAAAAGAGGTCCACGAGGCCCTCAGGCTCCTCTGGCTAACCGCTGGAAGAACATGAGTCATGCTAATCCTCGGCAATGGAGTCTGGTCACATTTAGCGGAAGCTGAAATGAGGAGTTAAAAAGAAAACCAGGTATCCTCTGGTAATCATACTGCTGTTCCTCCGTTATATATGTCCATGAAAGGAACAAATCTCGCCACGCCGCATAGCGAAGTCACAGCTGGCTAACCTTAGCTTAGCTTACGGTTAGCCGGCTCATCGCGAGTAAGGGAAGGTCTCGGGTTTTCAGTCAAGGAGTGCTTGGCGCCGCGCACACAGGAACGCGCACAGCGTGTGGAACAGGTTTTATTGAGTTGCAGAAAAGCCAAAGAATTCAAAAGAGGGATGCTTTTTTTTTTTTTTTTTAAGTTGAGGTAATCTTCAAAACATCTGTGTTGACTCAGGCTCAGGATACTGAAGCTGGTGCAAATGCCATAACATAACTGTAAAAGCCCATAAAGGCTTTTCCATTTTGTTCTTAAGAAGAAACGTTCTTAATTAAAACAGCGACTCGGGACGCTCGGTCACCAGTCTGCAGAACGCTCTGACTCACTGCGGCCAAAAGGCCGATGGCAGACTGGTCTGCGGGTTTAATTAACGCCATGCCATGTTTCAGAGAAGCACTTTGCTGCTGGTCGCAGAATAAACACGCGTTGTGCTGTATTTGCCTTTTTCATACATTTGCCTGCGTAGTTTTAATACGGCAAATTGTATTCATAGAATTGAAATATTCATCGTACCCATGCAAGTCTAACTACAGGCCAGGGACGACAGACTTTAGGCCAACTCATGCCGGTAATGTAAATTGATAAGTAGACCATTTTGGCCGAATGAACCAGTTAAGAAAGCAAAGTGGAAATAAATTGAATGATGTTGGAAAGGGAAACTTAATGCCCTCCCAGGATTCCCCGCAGCAATGCATTTGGAGCCCTGAGAGCAGAGGCCCATCAGGCTCTGAGAAAGTGTCTTGGAGGAGGTAAGTGCTGCATCTGCTCCACAGCGTGTACTGGTACTGAACTCAGCGGGCCAGAATCAATTGGCAGTCAAATCTGTCAGTGGGCCAGATCAATACACGTGACTGCGCCGCTGTCCGATGGTCAAATGCAATCAGCAGCGGAGCGAGTCGGAACACTGACGATGGGTATCAGGACGACGGCCAGAGGGACTCGACTTTTTGTTGGGTCGAGGAAATGAATTAAAATGCCAACAGGGAAACCAAAATAAAGAGGAATCCAGTAAAGGCAAAATCCACCTCTAGTAGTTGCTCATGTTAGTTCTTGCTAAATTGTTGGATTGTTATTGAAAAAAAAGTAGATCCTTAAGTAAGGCCAGTCGGTGGAGCAAGAGCGCCATCTAACGGCCCACCGGGGGAACTGCACCCTAATAATCCCTGAAACAAATGATCGTCCCCGCCTTCAAAATAAAATCTCTTATTTGCCTTTTATGACTCAATTGCATTCATGAGATTCATTCTTATAATTCTGCAAAGTTCCACTGGAGTATGATGCGACAGATTGATACATGTTTTGTATTCATACAACCTGTCGAACAGATGAACCGATGAAGATGAATCATGTCTTCTGAAGAGATGTTTTGTGTCGTTTGATTCAAATATGAAAAAACAAGAGACACGGCGTTAACTTTCCAGGCATATTTTAATTGGCACGGTAAACACGATACAAAGTATTCAGTGCTCCAAAACACAAGCACGGGCCACCAAATGGAACACGAACGAAAAAGTGCAAAAACACACCATTTGGTAGACCTCACAAAGGAAAAGAAGTCTTACTTCGCAAAGCAGATAAAGTAATGGTAAGACTCTCAATAGTTAAAATAGATGATTTTCCTTTTTAAAACTTTATTCATATATTCATATATATTCTCTAATTCCAACGTGCCGTTTCCACTGTACAGGCAGGTTATTCCGGGGGGGTTTCGTGGTGGTCTTGTTGTTGCAGGTCCCATCAGATTTTCCATCGGGTGGGGTGGGGGGGGGGGGATAAACAAACAAAAGTGGCTTGTTTGAGCAAACGGGAGACTTCTTAAGCTGATCGACGCTTTCCATCAAGAGTTCCACGGGTCAATACGTCCATCGAGTTCGCCGCGCGCCGCGTCAGATGGATGTTCAAGAACGCTCTCGTTCAAAACAATTTAGTTGTTATTCATATTTAGTTTGGGCTTCAGACCCCGTTCAGACAGAATAAGCTACGACAAAGACTTCCAGCTTTGAAACAAAACGAAAACAAGAAAAAACAAGCCGAATCTCAGCCCGACATCGTCAAATATAAAACAAAAAGAAATGTTAAATCACGTAC